AAACCACTGCTGAGCAAAAAGAACATAAAGGCTCGTCTCAGTTTTGCAGTGATCTTTCCAGCCCGCTTCCTGACTCTGGAGGTGAACAAGTCCAGGATGGAGGTCAGGCTGGAACCAATGATCCTCTCTGCAGACCAGACAATCCGTTGCAGTCTGTTTCGGTCCTGTTTGGTGGCCGATCGAAACCAGTACAAAGTTGAGTACAAAGTTGAATAAAATGGAAACACTCAAGTAAAGTACTTTGAAGTTGTACATAAGTACAGTACTTAAAACCTCATCCCACTCTGACGGCCCGCAGAGTGTTATGTACACAACTGCCCTGTAACGATGAGTATGAATGTGATATCTCATTAGAAAGCTACGGTTCTTGTAATTCGATTTATGCAAACCATTTCAAGATACAATAACAGCAGGTACAGTTAACGTCTCTGTCAAACAAGCACTCCAAAAATAGCCGATAAAATATCACTGTGACTCACCGATTATGATTCATAAAGTGCCCCTTGTGCATGCTAGTCCAGCAAAAACGGTCTTGCTAGGTGGCTAAGGGTCCACTCGATCGAATCCAGTAAAAGATTTAGTCCAAAACACATTAGTACGTCCATAAAGACCCACGGGGGGCTGTTGCATCATTTCAAATTAGCCAGCAGATATGATAACTCGCGATCATATTTCGGGCATAATTTCACTTTTCATGTAAACAGAGCGAAGATTTTGACCGCAAAATGGAGGCTGCATTCCGCCGGTTAGATTGACACCTCATTTGACCCAATAGGAGCTTCTATAGCCGGTCACAGTCTGGAACAGTCAACGAGAGTCCGCTTTGAAAGACAATGCCCGCCTCTCTTCTTTGGGTAAAGCTCGAGCCAATCGCAACAGATCCTGTTCAAACTCAGGCTCCATATAGCCAATGAAATTACGAAGCCAAGGATATGCAGATTTATCAGATGGCCCCCTGGGAAAGTTTTCAAAACTGCAATTGAAACCGTGACTGAGGTAACTGGGACAGATTGTCAAGACCAAAGTCTGGTTGATGAGAACTTTCAAGAATATGTGGAAGTTGAGAATGGTTAAATATGTAGTAAACCATACATTAACATAAATAAACTATATTTTGAATTTCGGACACGTAGTACATGCATTTTGATGTGGTGACGTGAGCATCCAAATGCGTCTTTACGTGGCTGCACTCTTAGTGAACTATGTGTAAAATATTAATTTTCTGTCGTATTGTTATCAAATTATAACTTATACCAGGTACCATGACTCCATGGCGACATAGTATTGTCTTTTCAGGCCTGTAAGTCCCATCCATAGATAACTGCTGCCATCTGTTGGCCAAAACAAATCTAGGCGGAAATAAAATCCTTCTTTCACTGTGCTGAAAACGCCATAGCTCAATGCTAGTAGCACTTACAATGATTCTGAAGAAACTTCAGAGTGTTGCCGTTCAATAGAGACTAAAACCATACATGTACTCCCAATGGTTCAATAAGAGCTGTCAGTTTACTTTGGGTACGCGGTTGATAGGCGTTTTAGGCAAATTTTACAGGAGTGAGAAGAGGTTTTAAGCAAATATACTTTTCCATTCCACCACTGGTCATAATATTCACTCTTACCACTCTCAGCTTATCAAAACCATACAATTGTATCGGTTTATAAAGAGGTGGAATAATATAGAGCGGGATTGAGTCCAGTCTATTGTCCGGCCCTCCACAACAGTCCCCGTTTCTCATGTGGGCCCCTTGGGAAAAATAATTGTCCCCTCCCCCCCACCCTTGATTTAACGTGATCCTTGACAGAACTCCGCCGTTAAGATGACAATGGTTTCCAATTTGGGGAGCTCTGACTAGTAGTTCATTTTCAGGAAAAGGAAAATAGGAGAATGTTTCATTTATTTTTCCAGGACAACACAAGATCTTTCAGGACTTATTCTCAAATGTTTTCAATGACTTTTAAATTGGAAAACTGTTTTCCAGGATGCGAGAACCCTGAAATCGTTCAGAGATGAGGAAATCGTCACTGCGCTACAACGTCACTGCACTACAACGTCCTTTGAGGCGTCTTTACCTCAACAGCAGCTTGTGGATTTCTGCTGCCCATTGAAGTCATTTCACTATTATATCAAACAAAAAGCTTGTGAGTGAACCGTGAGGAGATAACTGAACAAAAGCACAACACATCAACCGTGTTGATTATGGAACCTTTTATTTGAAACAAAAGCATAAGAAAACACATTTCACTGGGGGTTTAACAGTAGTCTCTTTTCCTTATTAAAATCCTTTGTTAAAAACATCAATAACAATACTTCACTGCATCAACAGAGCGCAGAGGTCGAGAGGACATCAACCAATCACACGGGTGGAGGGAGGAAGAAGGCTAGGCTAACACGACTGCTAGCCTTAGAAAAACAATGCATCACCTACGTGCAGACAGTAAACATCAGAAGATAAAATGCGCGCCGATTTAAAAAAAACGAGCACAAGTATTTACACTAAGACCCACTGAGAGAGAAAGCAGGACAGCACCAGTTCACCTGTAATTGACCCCACTAGGCCCCGATCAGCCCTCCGTGTGCTCTGATCCCTCCGCAGGAAGATACTCATTTCTGATTTCATTAAGCGAGCCTTATTAAAAATATATTGACATGGTTAAACAAAACAAAAACTAGAACATTATCTGAAACCCGCCAATATGATACACAACACTTTACATACAGAGAGAAGCCTCGACCCCAACACACCAGTTTCTCGAGGGTCGTGACGACGACTTTAAAAACCGGAGTTCAAGTTGAGATTTGCTTTTGAATCCCGATCGATCATATTTAAAGGTCTCCGTCATGGTACGGCCAAAGGCAGGAGGGACACCCGGCTTCATCCAAATCAGTCTTCATTTGTTCCAAGTGGCACCTCACCAGAACGAGAGGATCATTTGTGCCTCTTCAAACGCCCATAGCAGCAGACCTCTGGCCCTCTGATGACGAGTCACTACAGCGTATTCAGGCAGAAGTTATCAGACTAACATGAAAACAGTTCATTTTTACTATTTGCGGGGCGTATTCTTGCTCTTCATTATATATTACAATGGTTTAGCAGCTGGCTAGTTTGGTTCCTCGGCGTAAAGCTGTGTTCTACCACAGGTCCAGGTTCTCAGTGATGGTGAAGCCGGGGTCTGTGCGCAGCTTATAGTACGTTCCGTTGCTCAGCCACACCTCTCTGCCAGCCTCGTCCACAGATTTCCTGAGTTAACGGACGAGAGAGAGAACTGTTGCGGTCGGCAGTCAGAGGAAAAAGACTTTGTTTTTGTTAGCAATATTAAAAAATTAAAAGATAGTTTGACATTAAAAAAAAAAAAAAAATAAGATATTTTCTGAGAGTTGGATGAGAAGATATCATTCTCATGTCAGTAATGCTAACTATGAAGCATTAACAACAGCAGCTGGTTAGCTTAGCATAAAGACAGCTAGCCTGGCTCTGATCAAAGGGTAACCCCATGTGATCAAGCTATTCTCAGACATTAAACTAACAAATTACATGTTTGGCGTAATAATCGAAGATAGTCGTTTTTATTCTGAATGCGTTAAATAATTTACATAAATTAAAAAAAACACAATTTCAATGACCATCACGTTTGAATGTCAGCACACAGATGATGCAGCGCAGTCGCTGGAACGTTGGCGTGGTGAATGTTGCCATTTCTTAATCAAAAATGTGTTTCATATCAACATTTCTACATGCGTGTATATCAGCGTTAGTGTTGGAACCGCTTGTGCCGTACATTCATTCCCAATTGCGTTTAGGTTTCAGCAACAAACTACTTAGGTTTATTAATAAATCATGTTTTGAGTTGCAACAAGTCAACGTTATTTTTAGTTTCACACGGGATACGAACACCGGAAATATTTGACCCATCGACCCACCTACGCAGACTTTGATTAACTGCATTTGTGATACGTCAAATACAAATGTAATCCGGAAGGGAAAAAAAGTTCCCTCGAAATATAATTTAAAAAGCGTAACTTCTACCCTCCAGTTCACCCTCAGGTTGACACTGCTCTGTCAACAGAACCGTTTTTCAAGTCGCACCTGTTGTTCACCGGTAGCTGCTAGCTCAGCAGTCGCCATGTTGAGAGCCATGTGGAGACAACCCCTCAATCATAGAGAAGTGAATAAATTAAAATAAGCGAGTCGTTTTGTGGGGAGGTTATCTGCTTGACTTTCCTTTTTTTTGGTTAGGCACAATTACTTCTTGAAATCTTGTAACCACCATGAGGTCCCATCACTTGAGGAACTCTAAAATATTATTGCAATAGGGGGTGAGGCAACATGTGGGTGAGTAGCAATGTGCATTGTGAAATCCTCCTCACCTGAAGAACCTGGGGATGTGCTCCTCCCCTCTCTTGGTCATCTCCTTCCTTCTCTCCCTCTGCTTCTCCTCCACTTTGTCCTTTGTTTTATCTGCTTCTGCTACCTTGCCCTCCTCCAAGAGCCTGAGGGAGAGAAGAGGGGCACAGATTAAACAACTGGTCAACATGGAAGATGGCGAAGCCACTATTTAAAAACAAAAAACCAAAAAAAAAAAAAAAAAAAACATAACAAATGCTTCAGCTTAAATCAAGTTGGTACCTCTGGTCTGGTCTGAAGCGCGTGTCTGTAGACGGGAGGACTGCTTTCAGCTCGGGTGTCAGCTCGTTTAGTTCTCTGGCGTATTGGGAGAAACCGTAGAACTGAGCGTAGTCATCGGGCTGCACGTCTAAACAGGAAATGACATCATGCATATCAAGACTGAGGACATTAGACAATGTGGAAACGTAAGAAGAGTGATTGTAAGATCTCGTAATGTTGTACATTTACAAATACAAATCAAATCCCAGTCAGTGGTGGCCCGGGTGGAAAATCAGCATATATTTAATTACAATACGACACCGACACCAGAATTGGTCACGGCCTTTGGGGACTCGACTGGATGCTACTCACTGGGCTTCCAGATGCACTTTGGTGTCGACATGGTATCACAGAAAATGCCCTCATGCCAGAGGCCTCCAAAGCGATGTACCACCTCTCCAGTCCGGTCCAGGACCACGCCCTGCACCTCGTTCTTACCGTTGTCTGAGCTCCAGTAGCGAGACTGGAATATGTAGAGCAAAAGAAAAGGTCAAAGTTCAAGTGGTTCAACAGAGAAGGGGACAAGAAAAGTCCCATGTGCATTATTCTGACTTCTAAGTGAACTAGCAGTAACGAATGTAAACATTAGGTTAGAGGCTGGTTAAATGGAGACATCAGTGAGTGAGTGCGTGCTGACCTTGACAAAGGTGATCTTGCAGGTGCAGGCGTCGCTCTTTGTGTTTTTGATGACCACCTCACCGTAGTGCTCCAACCAGCGCTCCTGACTCAGCACGTTGTGGATACAAGTCACTGCCTTGTTCCACTCGTAGTGGTCACCGTACCTATACACAAAAACACTCAATAATATTCACCATCACTTCCTCATTTATGCCTGTTCTTAGACTATTTTAGCTGAAATAAGTATACACGCGCACACACGCGCACGCGCACGCGCACACACGCGCACGCGCACGCGCACACACGCACACGCGCGCGCACACGCACGCGCGCGCGCTGCGTACGCGCACACACACGCGCACACGCGCGCGCGCTGCGTACGCGCGCGCGCTGCGTACGCGCACACACACGCGCGCACACACACGCGCACACGCGCGCGCACACGCGCGCGCACACGCGCTGCGTATACACACACGCGCTGCGTATACACACACGCGCTGCGTATACACACACGCGCTGCGTATACACACACGCGCTGCGTATACACACACGCGCTGCGTATACACACACGCGCTGCGTATACACACACGCGCTGCGTATACACACACGCGCTGCGTATACACACACGCGCTGCGTATACACACACGCGCTGCGTATACACACACGCGCTGCGTATACACACACGCGCTGCGTATACACACACGCGCTGCGTATACACACACGCGCTGCGTATACACACACACGCTGCGTATACACACACACACATGCGTATACACACACACACATGCGTAT